TTCCAAAACTTTTCATTTGACTTTTCAGGATTTGAGGGTATTGAAAACGATTTGGTAATGCGACTCAGAACGAAAAAACGCAACGAAGATACTCCAAACGACAGAACAGGGGCGCCTGCGAGGTTTTGGGCGCCGACGCCTCCTCTTGTGCCGCGGGTAATCGGCGAAGTCCGAGCGACCGCCTTTTCACCCGCCGAAGCAAGCGTGCGCGCGCCCCGGCGGGCACCCGCCGACCGCAGGGCGCCATCGGCTGCCGGCGCGGGCGCCCTAAAGAAAAAGGCCATGACCGCCCACCCACCCTCCCCCCACGCCCGGAAGGCCTACCCGGGAACTGACTAGGAGGAGGGCTACCGACGCAGGGAAGGGGGCCGGCCCGCCAGACCCTAAACCCGACACAACCGGGCACCGGGCAGCACGCGCCCTCGCCAAGAAACGCGCGCGCCCAAGCCTCACAAACACCGCGAACCATGGCGCGCCTCCTGCCGCCGGCAGCCACCGCGAAACGGCCCGACCCTGGCAGGTTTCTTAATGCAAAGCAACCGCCGGCCAAAAGTTGCCGGCGGCGTGTGCTGCTGTTTCGCGCTTTTCCACATGAAAAAAATCAAAGCGCGCCAGCCTGTCGGGCTTTGTTTTACTTGCTTCAACGAACCGCCGGCGCCGGGTTCTATCGGTCGCCGACTGATAACACTAACGACGCAGGGGGGCCGGAAAAAGGGGCGCCGTTCTGAGGCGCCGGCCGCGGGGGGTTCTGGCGATTGGGGGCGCCCAAAAGGGCGCCCCAAAAAACTCGCGGCAAATCGCAAAAGCGAAGCCGCATGACAGGGCCGGGGCTTCGTTCGGAGCGTTTGGCCGGCCGCGAAAGCGGCCACCAACTTTTCGCCGGTTTCTATGCAGCGGAAGCTTTGCAAAGGGTGCCGGCGCGCAAAGAAAAAACACAAAAAAGCAAAAGCGCGCGAGGCCAATCCACACGCCACGGGCCCGGTTGGCATTCGGTTTTAGGGCGCTCCACCGCGGCGCCCGGATCGGCCCCATTCATACCGCCGGGGCTGGCTTTCAGGCAGGGGCTCTGGAAATTTGCCAAAGAACTGCCATGCTTTCCAAAAGACGGCCAAGCCGCGCGGCATGACCATACCAAAAGCGGCACGGCGGGCATAGAAATAGCGCGCCGTGGCTGGCCAGGGCAACGAACGGTCGGCGGGCAAGGCAGCCAGCGGCACCGACCTCACCACCTCCGCCCCGGAGGCTATATTTGGCACGCTGGGCGCATGCAGCAGCGACTTACCGCCCGACAGCCCCACGCATATCAAGCAAACAGGCTCCGAGGGTAACTAAGCCCCCACGACGTCCCCTCCCCTACGTGCGTCGCACGCAGGGGCGCAATTCCGCCCGTGCGCCAACCAGATCGCCCGGCGCCCCAACATGGTTCGCCCCGCCCGAAACGATGTCGAGCGTGCCATGCGGTCCGACGTCGGACCGCACGGTATGCGTGTCGGAAAAGCAAAACAGCAAAGGCACAGGCCCTGGCTGTCCAGATAGAGACGAAACAGATCGCCCAATCCCGGCCGACAGGGTGGGGCGCAGGGCGAGCGAAGGGCGAGACGAACGATGGCAATCGGGCCGCCGGCACGTAGAAAGTAGACCCGCGGTGGCGCCGCCCGGTATTCCAGGCTGGCACGCAGGCAGGCCGGCGGGGCCCAACATGCAGGCGCCCCCCCGCGTCAGAGGGAGGCCCCCAGACAGGCCTGCTCCGACCGTCCGGCCGGCCGGCGCCTGGCGGATGCGGCGGAATCGCTTTGGCACCCCAATAACCCGCCTCCCCCGCCCGGGCCCGGCAATGCACAGACGCCGCGCGCGGCTGCTGCCGGCCGACACACTGTGGCCCCGGTCCAGGACGGTCGCGGGCGGGGAGGCTGGGTGGCGAAGGACTGGCGCGGCCGGGCCGGGTGTTCCTTCCGTCTATGGGTTTGGGCAAACCAACGCCCATTCTAGCGGCGCCCAGGCCCCCAAGAGCCCGCCGCCGCACCTGTGGAGTACACCGAGCGCACGCCCCACACGCGCCCCAAACGGCGCAAAGCGCCAAGTTCAGGGGGTCGGTAGCAACCGCCGAAGCCCGGGCGCCCTCTCGTGGTTCGCAGCTAAACGCGCACCGGAGCCCCCGGGGCGTGGTTCCCCTGGCCCGGTGGCGCATGCGACAACGTAGCGCCGGCCGCCGGGGCGGGGCCGACCGCTTGCCTGGCTACGTGGGCAATAATCGCAGGCGTGCCTATCGGGGGGCTTTGCCTCTTTTCGGGCGCAAGGCAGCCGCCCGAGGGCGGCCCAACTGGCGGGCAGGAACGAAGGCCAGGCGCCGGGCGGCGAAACTTTTCCGAACCTCTACCGAAAACGCTACCGGAAACTTTGCCGAGAACTTGCCGAAAACATTGCCGAAGTTTCTTGCTGAAAACTTGCCGAAACTTCTCCCGAAAAGTCGGCGAAAACCTTCCGCGAAACCTTCCCGGAAAACTCTCCCGTTTAAAAGTCGACCAAAAGTTACAGAGCGGGAGTTGGAAAGTCAACCAAAAGTTTTCGAGTCCGAAAATGATCCCGAAGCGGGGAAGTTTCGGGAAAGTTCGAGGTTAAGTTTTCGGCAAGTTTTCGGCAAGTTTTCGGCAAGTTTTCGGCACCCAGCCAGAGGATTTCGTCGCGCCCTCAAAAGCCGAAAAGCCTGAAGGCTTGCGCGCCCGCCAATCTTGCGAAAAATCCTGCTGCCTCCCTCCTTTTCTACATGGCTGGGGCGGCCTCCCCGAAAATGGGGACAGAACCTCCTGGGCGAGCTTACTTATTGCGCGCGGAGCCGGCGCGGCAAAATGTGACGCCCCCCGCGCGCCCCTGCTGCGCCGGCGCCCTTCCTACTCGCGAAAAGCCGGCCGCGCAAGGAATGCCACCGAGACCGAGGCGGGGCACTCTGGAGCGGCGGCATGGCCTTGCCGCTTTGTATGTAAGTACGGGGGGGCGGCGAATATGAAAGAGAAAGGGGCAGGCCGGGCAGCCTCTAGCTAGCGCCCAAAGGCGCTACGCCAAAACGTGAGGCGCGGCCAGTTCCACCGAAGCGCGCCACGCCATGCGGCCCGAACAGGCGCGCGAGGCCCGGGCCGCGCGGCGTGCTGCGTCCCTGCTCCAATATACCAAATATAGCCGCCGGGGCGCAGATAATGAGGCCGGCGCCGCTTTTTTGCCCGCCGACCTTTGCCCGCGCCACGGTTTTGCTTTTTCTGGGCCCGCCGTGTCGCGGTGGGTAAGGTTATGCCGCACGGTATGGCGGGCGCATGAAGAAAATGGCAGATGTTGGGCAACTTGCCAAAACCCCTGCCCGAAAGCCAGTCCCGATGCTATGGGGCCGACCCGGGCACCACGGTTGGCGCCCAAAAACCGAAGGGAAAGCGGGCCCGTAGAATGAATGCGGGCTGCACTGGCTTCGCGCGCTTGGCGCGTTTTTTCTTTTTTGCGATGTGTGTTATTTTTCGCGCCCGCGCCTTTTGCAAAGCTACCTCCCCCCGCTTAGAAACTGGCAAAAGGGCGGCCGCTTTCGCGACCGGCCAAAATGCTCCGAATTCGCGGCCATGCCCCAAGGCTTCGCTGTTCTGGTTTCGGGCGAGTTTTTTGGGGCGCCCTTTTGGGCACCCCAAGTCGCCAGAACCCCAGCCGGCCGACACCTGAGAAGGGCGCCACTTTTGCCGACCCCCCTACGTCATTTTTTCAGTCTTTCTACCGGCGGCCGGCTGAGCCCGCCGGCGACTGCATTCATTGCAGACAAAACCAAAAAGCCGGGCGCGCTTGGATTTTTTTCATCTTCAACATGCGAAAAAACACGAGCCAACGTCCCAAGCCCCCGGGCGTTTTTGGCGGTGCTTGTCGGAAAAGTTGCAGAGGTAGAGCCGCTCCGCGGGGTCGCTACATCTTACAAGAGAAGGCAAACCACCCGGGCACGCAGGCTCGTGCTGGAGGGCAACATACCAGAGGGGCCACGGGGCCCCCGCCCGCCGGCTCGCTTGTGGGCCGGGCCACCCGGGGGAGTTG